TCTTAATTCTGACATAGAATTGTCTTCAAAAATACATATAGATTCTTACAAACAGGCAAAGACAATGTGAAAAGGAGTATCTGCAGTCACGCAGTGATGGCAGTTGTCTGTGAAGATCAAGAAATGTGACTTGTAATCAAGCAAGCAGAGTCAAGGAGCTGAGGTTAAGCCCCACAGGGCACCCTAGCTTTGTAGGTGAAGTAAATGAAGGAGAAGATTTGAGGGGGAGAGTAAGGAAGGGGAAGACGGGCAGTCACAACCTGGGCAATAACCTCGCACTGGGCCGGAGGGGAGCACAGGGCTCTTCCTGGCTGGCAACCGGACACTCCTCGTTCCCAAATACAGCCCGTGCCTTCCTCAGAGCAGGAGGACCAACTCTTCCTTCCTCAGAGCTGTCCTCCTCTTGCACAAGGACGTGGGCACCAGGGCCTGCCCCAGCTCGCCCTCTGTGCAGCCTGCTGCTCCCAGCACATTCATGCAGCACAGTGTGCGAGGCACAAGTGTGACACATGGCTCCCGCACCTTACACAAGTGTGAACAGGGAGCCAAGCTAAATCTATTCACCTATCAAAAAAAAACCAGACAAATAAAACCCTGAGGTGAGTTCTTACCATTTCTATAAGAGGATGTCGTATTTCCTCCAGTTACTTGATTATTAGATTATTTATGATGGTTCACTTGCTCCCTAAGGTCCTTGAGATATTTTCAGACTAAATATCCATTAGGAAAAATGAAGTAGCTAGATTTGAGGTCAGCTTCAAAAGAATTAGTCTTAACACAGAGTTAAACACAGAGTGGGTATCAGTTGTTGCCTCTATAACAACTATGCTCAAACAAGAGTTGCCAAAGAACCCAGAGATTTGCTGAATAAGATCTGATGTTCCACACGGTAACGTTTTTCACAGTTGTGTGGCCGTCACCTCTGTGCTAAATTTGACTGCACCAGGAGAACCGGAGTACAGCTGTCAGACACAGCAGTACAAACGATCTGCAAGTGTGTGAGAACGACATGTGTGTTCAGGAGACACTGACCCATCGCCGCCCTTCATTGGTGGCTATCCATCTCCACAAGGGACTAGCAGGAGTGATGTCAGGCTCACGAACTTTTTCCTCTCTCCCTTTTCCAGGGGAAGGGAGGGAGTCATGACCTCCAGGCTCAGCATAGCTAGTCAGGTACTTGCTTTGCATGCAGAAACAGCAGGTTCTGAAGAGCTCTGGGGCTGAGGCCTTTTATGGATGACACTCACCAAGCAGGTCCCGGCGACTGACAGGGCACGGGCTGGCCCTAAAGGTGCCGCTACTCAAAAAGAAATCACCAGGAAGAGCAACCAGAGGCCACTGGGAGAGGCAGCATCCAGGCAGCACGTGCATAAATAAAGGAAAGTAAAGAGGAAAAGACTCTGTACTTGGTAATCTAGAGTGAGAAAGGATGAATGAGAGAGAGAACCCAGGGAAAGAACAAAAGCTTAGAAAGCACCAGGTTTGGATGAGGGCAGCTAGAGACAGAAATCAAGCTTTTTTTTTTTTTTTTTTTTTGCCTTTTTAAAAAAAAAAAGAAAAGAAAAAAAATGATTATAACCAAAAGCCTCAGCCAAAATTAACCAAGTTGAGACTGAGATTTACTGGAAGTAACATTTAATACGTCATTAGGTCATCCCCTCACCTGCTTCTACTCTGGGTAGACAGACAGGAGGGGCACAGAAATTTTTGCTTGCCTGGAATACCCCTGCCCGTCCCCACTCGTAACGTTGCCTTTCGTCTGCCTTCTGCTCAACCACAGCACAGCCGCAGTTCCAGTGGACGAACCGGAGCCAGCCACACTGCGCTTCTCAAATCCGGTAACATAAAGCAGCCCTCTCCACAAGCACAGCGTGGCTTCTAATGCAGGTTTACATTTCAGAGCCAGCTACCAGACACACTTCTATTCTCAGCAAGGTCTTACACTTAAGAAAAGTCCCGTTCCAGACTCTTAGCAGGCGCCAACTTACAAACATTCAACAAGGGATTTCACTTCCCAGTCTCCCCACTTCCCACATTTATTTTACTGAGGAGATTGTTGCTCTGCTCTCCGCAAGCTAAATCCACTTGCCACCACCTTAATAAACACATGGGCATTTCTTTCTGACTGATTATAAAATAGATGGTCTTCCACATCCAAAGGAAGAGAGTCCTCCTTTGTAATAACAGATCTTACTGACCTCTGCAAATGCTCATTCTAAAGCATTACAAGGAAATCGTAACTAGACTCTCCTGCGTTATCAACTAAAGGCTTGCTGAAGAGCCTCAGGGAACTATACAGACTTGAGCCCCTTCCATCTCCATCAGAGCTACGTATTTTAACTGATGCAAACGCTGACAGCCAGCGTGCACACCACAAGGCTCTCCTACTTCTCCTGTGCTCCAAGAACCTGATTTTATAGGATCAGTCACAGGTTCAGCCTTGCAGACATGCAGGAGAGTCGGTGGCTACTTCAAGCTGAAAAGCCAGAGTTTAAAACCAGGCATTTTAAACCCAGGTCTCCCACATTGCTCCTTCCTGACAACTCCAGTTCCTGCCAACGTTCCAAGTACATGTCCAGAAAAACAAAAATCTGTACTCCAAATTTGAGCAGCACCTTAACACCAGGTGCTACAGTTATGTCTGCAATGAAGTGCAATGTAATAGCTAATCATAGAAATGGAGAGGCTATAGGAATTTCAGGACTGAGAAAGAATGGTGCTGAGGTCCAACAGCAGTTGAGCTGAATTTGAAGGATGTAAACTTTAAAGTCAAGCATTTTACTGCTACACTAGACAGAGACTGAATTCTGGAAATAAAATGCTGCCTTGCAGAACACTTTGGGGCTAAGTCATGTGCTGTTAATGTCATGTGCAGAGCATATTTAACAGAATAAAAGTTTTATAACCAAAGCAGAAAAAAAGTTGAACAAAGAATGCAACATCTTACTCTTCCCAACTGCAGTCTCAGCTAACATCATTATCCATTTTCTCAATGCTCTAAACACGCATTTCTTCTTTTTCTTTTTTTTTTCTTTTTTTCCCTCCTTCAATTGAACCTGCATAGCATATGCTTGCTTCAAACTCCAGGCAGGAATTTATTAATAAAACTTTTTTTTTTCATGGGACCACAATCAAGCATCGGCAAGCAAGAATGATGGGAGCTTAGCTTCCTCTAAAGGAAACTGAACCTGAACCAGAGTATGTTGCCTTTCCATGAAGTGAGGTCACAGAAGAGCAGTTATTGAGGCTTGTCTAACATACAGTAACTTGTTAACCATGAGCACTTGCAGGCAACCCAATGGTCACTTTTTAGTAGTTTATTATTATTATTATTCTCTCTCTTTCTAGCGTAGAAGCAAATTTCTGGAAAAACTAAAGATTTTGGCTAGACCCAAACAGTGTCCATACAGGACTTAGTTCAACTGTATTTGTTCCCAATCAGCCAATCTAAAGCAGGGCTATGGCTCATCCAACCTTCAAAAAGATTACAAACTCCTTTTGATCTGGCAAGGCTGACAAGGAGCTCAAATAAACCTCCTGTCTGGCCCAAGCTGTCCATACTGCAGAGCACATACTGCACAGAAGAAATGCCAGCACATGTAGTCACCTCAACCAGCTATTACTGCATAATCTGCAGAAGAAAACCCCTGTATGAAAACTTGTGCTATCACAGAAATTTTCCTAGTTAAAAATACTAAGACAAATAGCAGAGGTGAAAGGGGGGGAAGTATAAAGGGAGGGAAGGAAGGGCCCACAGGCCGGCGGGGCAGCGCGGCCTCTGTGGCCTGTCAAGCTACAGTATCCGGCCGCTCTTCGGAGCGGCTCCAGCTCCAGAGCGGCTCTGGTGCAGACAGAGAGCAGAGCTACGAGCAGCTACATCCACCTATGGGTGGCTGCTGATGGGCCCCAAGGCCTTTGGGGGCTCTACAGACCTGACATGAGACATCATGTTCAGGGCTGACACCAGAGGAAGTGAGATTTAGAGGCGGGAAAAGGTGGGATAAGGAGCCTGGATCGCGTAGAGCTCTGACTGTCATTTCTGCTAGCACAAGGGGCATGCAGTTCAGGCCATACCTGGTAGAGATAAATCAATAATATTCTCCTTTGGTGTTTCATAAATAAATCACTCTAGTAAATACCCTGACCCTGCAGCGTCAGGTGCTGTCCTACTACGAAGGGAGCTGCTGTCCCCAGGCAGAGACAGAAGTAGGTGAAGTGGTAGCATATATTGAGAAGGAGAGACCTGAATAACAGCAAGTATGAGATCCACGTGCCAGGATAGCCCCAACCCATAAAGCTAAGAATATTGTTGAGTCTTTTTCAAGGATCTGGGAGGATCAGACCTGTCTTCACTTTAGGATCAGAAAATAAAAGTTTTCAAGGGCCCAGATTAACTATTCCTGCTCAGAGTACAACATTTCCCCATCAGGAGCCACATGGCCATCCCAAGGCATGACAGACAAGTAACATTTATCAAGTCAGGATTCTTCAGGCTCCCCCGTAACTGAAGGGGGAGTGCAGGACATGTAACACAGTGGCAATAGGAAGAAATGCTTACTGCCTCTTTAACACAAAAACCAGCAGGCATCAAATATTGCTAGTGCAAAACAGGATCGTATCAAACAAAACCAGGTGCCTCTTTGCACAGGTGGTCAAATTCATGAAAGAGAAGTCAATGGACCCCAAATACAGAACCAGTGCTCCCATGTTTCCACTCCAAGCCACAAAGTTCCTGGAGTTTAGGAAAATACTGTGAACACCACGGCATGCTGGAGACCTTATCTCATCTAAACCTCATCTAAAGGCTGGTGTTAACACAAGAGATGAACCTAGAGAGGCCTTGAACGTACTGCACTAGCCCACTCCTGTGTAGGATCTCTTTTTAATCAATAAAACCCTTCTAAACACGAGCATCACTTTCAATGCAATTGCCCATGCATTCATTTCATAATGCTTCACTCACTTCCCCTCTCCCTTGCTTTCCCTCTCTCTCTTTTCAGATTAAAGAAAATCCAGATGGGGTGCAGGTGCTGCAAAATGATACAAAGGTACAACAGAACTAAAATAAATGCTTAGTCAAAAAAAGTACTAAAACATACATCTGTGCTCCTCTATATCTGTTACTTAAAACTATTTACCAGCTTTAAATTAACCCAAATTTACTTTGTTTTTCTTAATAAATCATGTCAAAGCACAGATATTCTGATTTCCTATGAACCTTCTTTTGATTTACTGTAATCAAGGGTCTTCTCTGTTTTTCCCAACACACAGAAGAGTTGTGTGGCATTCAGAATTTCTTTGCCACAGGGCTTTTCTGTTTCTCGAGTGAAAAGAGCAGACTCAGATCCTCCCTTTCCCCCTACACATTCAAAGCGAGCTACAGACCCCTTCTTCCGTAGCTTTTAAAGGTAGTTAATTGTGAGAAGAACTCCCACACTTAAAGTCTCCCAGCAGAAGTCTGACAGTCCTTGAGCCCCACTTGATTATTGCTCCCTAACACATCTCTAAATCCAGCAAAGAAGTGAGAAAGGAAGCTGGTGATAAGGAAGAGGAGAGAGAAAGAAGAGAGGCTTTGGAAGAAATAAGTCAGGAAAAATTAGGGTGGGGGGAACAGAGAAAAAAAAAACGGAGGAAAGGACAGAATTTCAACAAAAAGAAACGGACCAAGAGACAAAGTTTGAGAGAAAAATATCAGGAGGATGGGGGAAAAAAAATGAAAAAATAAAAAAGATGTTGGCAGTTAAATGAGGACACATTAAACAGTCTGTCATTGGCTAATCTAAGCTCAAGAGGAAATATAAAGCTGGAAACACGGACCAACTCGCTGCCATCTCTCTGTGCCCCTGGGGACTCTCACTCCAAGGGCTGCTACCATCTCCCCAGGGCACTGCAGGCTGTAGCACAGTTCATCACTGCGTTCACATCACAGGAGCCCAGGTAAAGCTTAGTGGCAGGAGCTCGTTGAGACCAGCTTAAAAGTTAAGCATAATCCTTTCCTGGTTTCTACTAGTCAACAGCTGAATTAGAATCATGGAATCACAGAATGGTTAAGGTTGGAAGGGACCTCAGAGGTCATCGAGTCCAACCCCCCTGCTCATGCAGGGTCACCTAGAGCACGTGGCACAGGGCTGCATCCAAGCGGGTTTTAAAGATCTCCAAAGAAGGAAACTCCACAGCCTCTCTGGGCAGCCTGTTCCAGGGCTCTGTCATCCTCTCTGTTAAGAAATTTTTCTTTAAGTTCCTGTGGAACTTTTGGTGCCTCAGCTTGTGACCGTTTCCCCTAGTCCAAATTAACATTTCCTTTATAAATTAATTAACATTTCCTTTATAATTAACATTTCCTTTATAAATCTTCCCCTCACCAGCTATATTTTTGATCCAGAAGAGGCGCAGTCACCTGGATACATTCATGAGGCCAACAGCTACAAACAACACAGGCAAGACAGCAATAAATCCCAGTTCAAACCGAGTGGTGAAATTCAAGAACACAAAAATGAACTCCAGAAGGATGAGCTAAAGAGAACGGAAAATAAAAGCCAGGTAAACAGCACAAAAGCAGCTCTCTGGCACCACAGAGGAACCGCTTTCCAGGAGGATGGCCCTGAGAAGTGTGCAGCAAAGCTCAATGTGGCAGTCAACGGCGGCAGCTCCTGCACTGGAGCTCACCCCGGGCCCAGTCCCAACGCAGCGAGGGGAGCCAGCGCGCAGGGAGCCTCCAGCCTGTCAGCAGAGTCTTCTTCAGCCAGAGACTTCTGCACCACACCAGGAGAGCCTGCCCAAAGCTTTGACCTAGAAGGAGGCACCCACGGCGAGTTGGCCTGTGAAGCGTCAGACCATTTCCAAGATGGGAACTCCCACGGGGCAGGGAAAGACACCTCCTTCCTAGGAAGTGCCATACAGGAGACACAAACTAACGCCATGCAATTGCCAGAGGTAGATTACCCCCAAAACAGCAGCGAAACCAGGAACTGTGTTGAAAAAGACACCCTTTCAGACAGCGATGCACAACCAGATCAGAACACCAGGCCTTCAGCAAAACAAGAGCAGGACTCCTATCTAACTCTGCCTTTGCATATGAAGGAAAACAGTGCCGAACCTTTGCTAACCTCCTCCGTAAGTGTGAGTGAGGACATTCCTGATGGTATCACTGCCAAAGCCCTTCCCAAAGCAGCACAGGCACCCACGCAGCCTGACCACAGAGATACCCATGGAGAAACTGAGGAGGAAGACGCAGAAGTGGCTGCAGCTCTGGCTGCACTGGAGGCTGCAACCGCAGGGGAAGACCTGGAAGATGATGATGATGAGTACTAGATGAAGGGTTCTTTCTAATACACTCATAGGTCTTATTGTGGATCTAAATGAATTCATGTGCTGTACACATGGACCACTGTTATGAACAGCACAAATAAAAGGAATTGGGACTCTGTCCCTTCAGCTGTTAAAATGTGGCCCTTTAATTTCTACTGCCTTCGGTACAAAGGAGCTTCCTTGGCTAAGGGTTATAATAAGGCCCTTCTTGGTGGGTATCCAGGAGGGCAAAGTATCATTTGTTTGCACAGGATATTCTGCTGCGTGCCCACGTCACTTGGGCTCATGCAAGTATCTCCTTCAGGTCTGAGCCTCAGGAGGGTTCACACTTCAGGGTCAAAAGGCTTCCATTATTTAAAACAGAAACCATGGAGTTAGAAAGCACATGATTAGGTTAGATTTTCATGATTTTAGCACAAAGTTGGTGCAAGAACACAACAAGGAATGCAGGCTTGCATGATAACCACATCTCTCCCCTTACACTTGCCCTGGACTTTTTCTGAACCCCACATGAACTGTTTCAGTTGATTAAAACGACAGAAGCAAAACCCAGTTCAAAGAAACGGGCAATTTTCTGCTGGTTTAATGAGCTGAAGCAGCTCAAGGAAATATCACAGTGCAGCGTCAGAGGTGTTGAAGAGTTGGTCCAAACTCAATTCTGCTGCACAGGAAGACTACGTGTTGGGAACTGCAGCCTGAGAACCCTCCTGAGCTGTGCAGCACAGCTCACCTGCCTGAACCCGTCTGTCTGCAAACAGGCTGGGCCTCACTGGGTCCTGCATTAAACACATTCTGTTTATATGGTCAGAGCTGGTGGGGGCCCCTGGCTTAACTGCAGTTCCTAAATTGAAATCAGCAAAGGGATTGTGCTTCCTACGTAAGCAGGAGACCTGAAAATCTCAAGCCTGTATTTTGATCTTTCTCTGAACACTTGGTCGTGTGAGATTTCTTGTAGGAAGCAAGAAGATGCAGAGAGAGGCTCTGTGCTGTTGCGTCATCAAAAGTTGGATTGTAATGTCTGGAGTAGAAAGTGCTTGAAATTTTATTTTGAAATGTTGTGGTTTCTAAGTCAGTTAGAAACTCTTAACTATTTTAAATATATTAAAGATTATCTGGTAGCTTTTATACGTTATGCATTTTCTGATTATGTAACAGTTGCATAAAAGAAATTGTAAGATTTATTCTTTTTTAGATGTACAAAAAGCATCAACTGTATATTTGCCAACATTAAAAGCTAAATCCTAATCTAATCAGTAAGTCTTATCTAAAGATAAGAATACTGAGGTACGTTTACACAATGTATATACTCAAAATATTTCTGTTTAAATGCAGATTCCCCCTTCTCTTCCAGATACTACAAAGCCAATCAGTATTTCCACTTCTCAAAATGTTGGTGATAGTGATTTGAAAACTAAAGTCTCAGCTTCAACACAACTAAACACAGCTAAAGATCAAAGTCACAATATTGTATTTGTAAAATAAAAAGGTTTTATGTATTTTAAATATATCACAGCAGTGTTGTTTCTCTAGCACCTTCTTCCCTTTCCAGTGCAATTTACACATCCAACTGTTTCGCGACTTGTAAAAATGCGTTAAGAGTAAAGCACCATTAAAAACGCTGAGGAAGGAAACACCACACGCACCCGAGGACATCTATCCACCTTCTCAATATCCTCCTGGTTAGCTTGAGGTTGGTTGGTTGGTTGGGACCTCCAGGCTCCGCTTTCGTTGGAGATCAAAGCAGATGTCGGCCTTGCTTGCTGAGAATTAAGACACGCTGCAGGCCGGCACCTCTCCACACGGGCTGCTAAAAACAAACGTGTTCCCCTGGCACCTCACACCAGGCAGCCTTTTTGACTACAGCAAAGCTAGTGCGGCCCATAATCCTGGGGCCCTGGACTTGAATCCTGTGTTGGGCCACAAACAACACATTCACTGCAAACTAGGTTCCCATTATAAAAGGAAAAAAAAAAAACCCAAAATATAATGTAAAATAAGTAGAAAATAATTGAATAATGGGTCAGTGCCCCTCTTAGCAACAGAGAGGATCAGGCACGTGCCTACCTCAAATCTGCAGGATACAGACAGCTTCCATAAATCCAACGGGGCATCTTCAACAAGGAGGGTTTTCCTGCACTCCCCGTGTCGCTTTCCACAGAGCTTCTGTTCTCTCTTGTTCCACCAGGTCGCAGCTGAAAGAGACAGTGTCAGGAATTCTTAGTGAAGCAATGCCCAAGTATTTTGGTTTTCCTGTGATCCCAAAGGAAATAACATGAGTGAGCTGGGTGCTGTTAAGTGTAGACACTTGCATGTAGTAATAAAGAACAGGTAACAGGATGGAAAACTACTCTGAATGACAGAAGTTCAGAGAAGGGCCTTGGTTCTTAGGAGCTCAGGTTTTACTGATTATCCTCTGAAACTAATGATACAGCTTAAAAGATATTATTTCAGTACATAAACAATGAAATACTGTGGAGTCAAAATACCACTTTTTAATTTGGCAGTGGATCATTAAAGAAAATCATTGGATTAGACGAGAAAAAAAATTCAGACCACTGCAGAGATTGCAAATATCAACGTTGACAAATGGGCCAACAGCCCTGGAAAGCCAGCAGCAGCCCAGCCCACAAGACTCAAGGTATTTCAGATATTTAGTTCTTAGAGAGAAGGCTAGTGGGCAACTTGGTTTACAAAACAATAGCAGAAACTGAAATCCAACACTGCAGAACTGCTCAGTCCAGCAAACAAGGCAGAAGGAGAAGCTGGAACTTGGAAACAGATACTTGCCACACAGATTTATTTTTTCTCTCTTTTAAATAGGCATCAGACAGGCAAATGTTGCTATGGAAACTTCTTATTAAAAATAAAATTTTGGTAAACTCTATTACTTTCTAAAGGATCCTTCAGAGTTAATTGCTTTAAAGTAATCTAAAAATTCCTATTTTTAGCATCATTTAAATGATGAAAAAAGAAATGCTGATTTTAATATAAACAAAATTAATTTTGACCTTGTGTTGTATTTGCAGTTTAATTTCCTAAATGCGATTTTATTTTCCAGAAGATTAGTCCCTGCTGATGTACCACATTTTGTTAAATGAGAACAGAATATATCAACATTTATTAAAGCATGTGCATATGGTATTTTATACATTTATTCAAATGCTTAATTTGTATATTTAAATTATGTTGAAATGAAGAATCTTAACAGATTACTATCTTGAACTGTCATGTTGCCCCTTGCATGCAGATGATATTGGAATCCACCTAAATGCATCAAGAGCAGCACTTCAAAGTTAAACGCATTAAAACTTCTTTAATGTACTCCATACATATGAAGGCAGATCTATTAAAGTCATAGCCTACATTAAAAATGGATCCAATTTTAAAGGAAGCATCATGAACAAAATTGTTTCAGACACTGTTGGTTTGTAGATTTTAGCCTGCCTTCATCTCAAAGTTTAAGAGGTTATGATATAGGCTACAAGATTTTTATTGAGTTTTCCGACAAGAAATTTCCTTAGCAAGGAATTTATTTTCCCATCATTATGAAATGAAAACTCCTGAGCTCTGTCCCTGGTCAGGCTTCTCAATTTTCACACTCCCATGTATGCAAACAACTGAATCTGAGGACTCCTCCTCCACGAGAAACTTCCCTTAGAAGTTTAAGGGAAGATTGTTTTTTTAAAATTTTCCCCACATTTTGACGCCTCACATTCACTTCCTAAACTTCAAATCAGGCAATCCTGGAATTGAACTAGTTAGATAAACTGAAAATAAGTAATATTCACTCTGCAGCTACAGATGAGAGTACTCCTGATTCAGCACTTCAGCAACCTCTGTCCCAGGAGGTCAGTGCCCTTTTCCATTTCAACCTGTGAGATGCTGAAATTCTGACACAAGTTGAACATGCTTCCCCATTGGTATAAGAGTGACAGAAATATCGCGCCTTCGTATAAACAACCAGGATTTAACAGACTAATTCCTTCCATTTTTTATTGTTAAATACCGTTTTAATTTGCTAACAGGGTTCAATTCAACTTCACAACAGGTCTCTGTCATACAGGTTGCCCTCCACTTCTCTTGGGTGCTGCCTCACCACCCAAACCCCCTTCTTCCTCAGCCCTCCTCCTCCTCCTCCTGCAGCAGGAGGACAGCACCTTTCCCCTGCACCACCTCCGTGCAGTGAACCTCAGTTTATGGTTCACCAAAGTACAATTCACAAGCAGCCACTTCACAACCAGCACCATAAGCCACGATCTGCCCAGGCTACACCACTCCCTGCTCTCAGGCTTGATTGCAGGGCACTACAGATTAAGCTGCACACAACAGGTTTCTGCCGTACTGTGCAGCTCAAATCTATATGTTGCCAACTGAAAAACCTTCTATTCTATAGCAAAACAAACAAAACAAGCCCTCCAGGAAATACAACTTCCCAATATTAAGCCAGGCTGTAGATGATTTACGAAAAGCTACGGGACCAGCCCCACGATAAGGCTGCGTCACGTGAAGGCCCCGCTTTCCCAGGCCTGCTCGCGCTGCCGCGCTGAGCCTGGCTTGGCCGGCGGCAGGGCGCCCAAGCAGAGCAGGCACAAGGCAACGCCTCAAGCACAAGATCCAGGTTTTCAAGAGCCTGTGGCCACACAGGCTCTCCTCTGCTCTTAGCACGTGGAGCTGTACCCAGAGACAGCACGCAAACCACCAGCCTAACCCAACCGAAAGGGCAGCAAGATCAAGCGGCAACAGCTATACAACTATGAGCACGCGGAGTGAAACAAATGCAAGAAGATTTAAAAACTGCTTAAGGACTTGAAGACACATGGAAGGGGGATTTGGCCAAGAATCTCCTATAATGAGTAACGCAGATTGCTTCCACTTCTATTCATTTAATGGTTACTTTCCAAATAAAGATTTACTTTCTCTTTAGTTCTCATTTGAGGACTTCTTTCAGCAATAAGAGGATCCCAAATTTATCACAGGAACATTGATATCACACTCACAAATGGAATGCAGCTAGTTAACACCCATGAAAAAGAATCATACTAAAGGCCCAGCATGAATCACATCCAAAAGTAATTACCCAGGCAATATAACAGACATACCCCCACTGAACTGGGGATTACTTTTCCAGAGTCGCGTGTTCACTCGTGTTAATGAGCACCTTATGTGCACTGCTATTGTTCTGACGCGAGCCACGCAGATCCTCTTCCTTCTCCTCTCCTTGATTAAAGCTTGGCTTAGGCAGCAGTTTCCGTTTGTTCCTTTCAGTAATTACAGTGGGGACTTGCAGAGCCGACTCCAGGGCACTGGTGAAGCAGGAGGCTGCCTAGGACAGTGCAGCACTGAGAACAGGCACCACCTGGACCCGGGTCCCCTCTCTGACACCAGGAGGGAAAGAGCAGCCAGGGTGCAAGGGCTGCCTCTTTGCCCCTACACGTCCCTTTCCGGGACACAGGACACTCACCTGCAGGCAAGTAGGAGCCAGTTACAGAGAAACTTCCAACTACCTCGGGTTGGATTAGTGCTATATTGCTCTTCCTCCTTCTCCAAAAGAAATAAGTATTGACAAATAACCTGTAAAAGCTTCAATGGCTCCCTCTGCTGCCAGTAAACACAGATCTCAGCTGAGCAGAGAGAATTTGTCAGGTCCATCCACGTGTATGTGCACATGTATCTACACACAGCACCTGCACAGGTACATGTACATATACACACGTATGTACATCTTTGGCAAATGAGTACTGGAAAATACTTACACTCCTAAATCTGCTTTTAAAGGATAACTATTTGAGTATTATGAAAATATTAAAGGTTAGTAATTAAAAGTATTAGCTATTTCATATAAACTATATCTCATTTCCTATCTTCTGCAGAAGAAATAGAAAATGAAAGTAGTATATTAATAAAAAGGAAAACTCACTGACCTGTTCTAGTTGTTCTACATGCATTTAGAGTGAACCACAGACCCGAAGGTACTTCAGTTAAGGGCTTCAGAGAGCCGATTTTAGGACAGCGGGACAGTCTACTATCAGGCTGCTGCCTTCACTATCACTAACATTTCTGGCAGCCTGTTCCGGTTCCCCCAAATTTTCTGCAAGTCTTCCATGCTCACACTGCTGCCTCCTTCCTCTCCCTGCTTTTCTGCCATCAGGCCTAGCAAGTATCACCCGAGTGCTCGGACTCTGCAACAGACGGAAGCTGTCCTGCTGTCTCTAAAGGGATTGCAGCTCTAATAAGTTAAAACAGACACTATTCATCACCTTACCAAGAAGTCATTTCAATCCTACAAAAGTACCTACACACACACACAAAAGAAGGTGAAATACATATTTTCGTATCACTTGCAAGTAAGGTAGTCCATGTACCAGCATTTTGTAGCAGGTCTAGCCTGACCAAGCAGGCCAAGCAGCACCTTGAAGTCTGTCTTTGCCACTATGCCTATCTACGATAGCTATTGCTGAGAAAACCAAGAAAGCAGTTTCGTAAGAAACAAAGTTATCAAATCAGCTACAGAAAAATTACCAAAATAAATGCTCTGTGTTCCCTGGTCACATTTCAGTAACTTAAACACAATGTGCCCAAGCGCCAGGGCCTCCTGTTCACCACTGCTATGTGCTTGGCAAGTCACCTGCCCAGGGGCAACAGGCCTACAAGGACTGAAAATTAACAGGAAGAGAAAGCTAAGGAAGGGGGTGGGGGGAATCACAGAGGTTTACATGCATAAGACAAGCAGCTGCGCTGACAGAAACATTCATTTACCAACATAATCTTCTTTGCAGACGTTGGTGGAAGTCAGCTGAACTAGAGCAATAGCAAAACCCGCTGCCCTTACCCTGCTGTGGCACTAGGGGCTGCACGGATGCAATTTAAAGGAATGCTGCTGCAGTCAATGTGCAGCTCCCTGCTGACACTGCACAGGCGAAGAAAGCCAGTCTGCATTTCCACAACGAGGTAACCTAGTGCAATTCACAGGACCAGCATCCCACAAGCTCTGCAGCAAGATCCACTAAACAGGCAGTCTAGTATAAGAGATCTTTCCTGAACTCACCAGCAAAACGTGCCACCAAGCCCCTCATATCCCCTCCCCACCAAATAACCGCAAACTCAGCTTTACAGCACAGACCTTTTCCAAACCTTGCCCAGTAATCTTCCACTACCTTCAACTTCAGCTCCATCAGCGCAATCAGCTTGAGATTTTTCCTGTCTTCTCTTCCCCACAAGCTGGAGGACTCTCTCATCTTCCCCTTGGCAAGAGCTCAGCTTTCTTCTCCCCATCTTGCTCTGGCCTTGCCTATCTTCCCTGTAACTTTGCTGTGCTGGATAAAGCAATGCTCCAGGCACACAGGTTGGCCACGTGCCTCCCAACCCTGTGGTGGGAGTTCGAAACAACAACCAGCCCCAGCACAGGTGCTGCTTCTCAGGCAGGGCGGTGAGAAGACCAGGAGTAAAAGGCACCAAAACCTTGGCTGAAAGATGCACCAGTGGTTTTGCATTAGCATTCACACATCCCATCTGGGGAGCCAGGTGGGAGCACTTGGCCACCATTAACCACCCAGGAAACACCTCCTGGGGCAGCACGGAGGGGAGTTTAGTGTCTCATGCCAGGGGGCACTGGCAGCACTACCAATCCCAGACAAACCAGCTGCCTACTTCCCTCGCCAAAACAGGAACAGCCTCAGAAAGGCACTTTTTAACCCACATCCCTTTATATGAGCACGCAGAAAGCAGCGGCTCCATTCAGGAGGTTATTCTGTCATTTCTTACCAGGCTATTTGCAGCCCTCTCCCCCATGCTGTGCTTTTAGTTTTGAGGAAGCCACTTGGCACTCCACACACTTCCACAGCCTGTAGGGAGGCCTGGCTTCCCCCAGAACTGGGGAGCAGGCAGAGGACACCGCAGCTCCTCCCCAGACACCTTCCAAAGCACATCTCCTGTCAGCCACAAAGGGGATTTGGGCGCTTGAGGCAGCCAGGTTTGCTGGGCACGAAGCTGTAGGCCCGAGGCAGGTGCTCGCAGCTGGAGCAGCGCACTCCACCTCAGGGTGGACCTCGGAGGGACTATCATGCGAAGGGAAGTGCGATACCTCTTCCTCCTCCTGCCTTGTTCTTGAACAGAAGCAGCTCTTACTAATGATCTCCAGCCTGTGGGGGTGCATTTGGCTTGTTCAAATCACACTGGGAACCTCTGGCTCCACCGAGCCCTGGGCTAGGGCATAAAAACCAAGCTGTTTAGCATGGCTACCCAGTCAAGCTTAAACTTGCCAGGGCCTTCCCTCCAACAGAAAAACCTACCTAGGTTCTCTCTTGTACTGAGGTACCTCAGTGCTGCCCATTATCATATTAAAAAAAATGCAAATTTATCTCAACCTCTTAATTTTCATCGTCAGTATGCCTGAAGAGCTTTTGTTTTCTTTACAGCAGTAATTCACTTCTTTCAGTACAAAACACCTCTGAGAAAAAGGCTCCACCATTTCCCTGGGAGCTTTCTAATGACTCTGCATTCTGCTGCATATTATTCTGTGCTGTTACTTCATAAAGAAAAGTGAACTGATCTTCTTCCTTTCTTTTGAGCTATTTCTCCCCTCTCCCTACAATTCTGAACTACACAAAACTGCAACGATTTCATGTTACCTTCCAGCTCCAGCTTGAAAGCTTGAACTATAATTCAGACCATACTCATTTCCTCTCTAGTACTATATCTCCCTGCTCCAAGTATGTACCTTCCCAGTGAGTTACTGGTGTTTTTGTTTCCCTCCTCCCTCTCCCTTTAGTGCTGTCAGTAGACTGCATTTTGGGATCAAAACCAAGCTTGTTATTTTTGTTTTCAAGTCAGATCAGATCAGTCTCTTTGCCTTGGGTATTAATGTCTTCTAAGGCAAGACCCTTACCTTTCAAGCTAGGCAACCACTTTAGTGATTGGGTAAATAAAATGAAAGCACTGCTCATTAACATTCAGAAGTGCAGGAAAACTTGAATTGCTTCGATTCATTTCTACTTAAAGTGTATAATGCAATACCTAGCCCTAAACTTGGAACAAATCAAAAAGCACTAGGCAGGTGCAGCTAAATGAGACCAGCTGGCTAGAACAACACTGTCCTTCCAAAAACGACACATGCAAAACACTTGCGAGTAGATTGAGAGATTCCTTGTGAGTAGAGGAATCCTGAAGTACCATTTTGTGAAGTCTTTGTACCTGTGAGAAAAGAGGGAAAGAAATCAGACCAAATAGAGTCTAGCATACTTATCCACCAAGTGTTGGTAACAAGGAAGTTTGGAAATACAGAAGAGATATGTTTGATTCTTACCAAAACACTTTACAGCAAAAATAGGATTTTACTAAAGATATACTTAGCTCCCTCATAAGTTTTGCTAAGTCAACCTGCAGTAGGATCCTGAGTTTCTGCATAAGCCTCTGGCAAAAAAAGAAGTGTGTTAGAAAAAGAAAAGAGAAAAATAAGCAAAAAACACAAAACATTTTTCTTCTGTAAAAAATACCCTTCCCGTTTCTTTAGAGCATTCATCTATTCATCTATGTTGGTAAAGTTGTAACAGCATTTCACAAAAACTTTAATACATTAAACCTTTTCTATTCAGCCTATGCTTATATTGCCTAATGAAAAGTAGACATTAGATAGCAATGATCTGCCCTTATTTTCTGCTGTATACACAAGATCAGAAGAAACCATGAGAATAGGAAAAGTATCAACTTCTATAAATTTTACTATTTGCAGTACAAAATTTTGTTATCAGCTGAACATCTTGTTCAAAAAATCTGACTCTAAACCACAGCCGTAACTGTTCAACAAAACGCAGGCCTCATTTGTGTGATGCAGCTAAATCATAAAAATAAAGAACAAAAACCTGAAAACAGGGCAGTACACTGATAATTACATATGAGCTAGCCACAACAACTTGCTTTGAGCTTCCTTCAGACTGTTCATAAAGCAAAACTCTTTAATGCCATTTGCAGATTGCCGTCATCTGTGAGAACATACTGTGACAAATTAAGCATTGTGGTATCACCGAGGCACAGGATGAGAGTTAAGCAACTGTAAAGAGCTTCCTGCCATTTGTAATTTTTCTTTCCACAACTTGTAAGAACAATTGAGAATGAAGAATGCTGTGTATTTTTAAAAGCTCAAATTCAATGAGGACGTTAAAAGTCTTAATGCTTTAAAGGTAAAAGGTCTTTAATTGGAGCAGATACCAGCTTAGACTTTGTTCTTATCTAGATGAAATGCAGAAAATGTTTGCAACAGGCCTTTCTCGAGAAAATAAAATTCCTCTAACTTAAGCTCATCACTCTACAACGTAATTTTCTCCCTGTTTCTATAAATAAAGTTTTAAATGCAAAGAGACCACAATATACATTTTAACAGCTAAGATTGTGCAAAAGTTAAGTTTCACAGACGGATGTAGACTTAAGGAAATCACAAGCAAGCTTAAGAATCAATGTTTTATTTACTGCTTGGTAGTACAAAAGTTGTATACAAACTATTTTGTTAAAAATACATTTCATATTTAAGAAAATTTAAGAAAGACTGACATGGCAACATCCATACCACTAAAAAATGCGGAGTGTAGTGTTAAATCCAATAAAACAGGCACAATTTCTAAATCTTCTTGTTTAAGAAGTTAAGATCCTGTACAGATCAGGCCTTAAAACATCTTATTTAAGTATGTTAAATAGCCAAACAATGTTTTATATATCCAATACACTTGTATTTATTTTACATATTTTCAATAAAATTGAAATAGAAACTACTTTTAAGTTAAGTAAAAAAATAGCATATTTCTGTTTAAATTTTCTTCAATCTTTTTGGCATATTTACTTGCAGTCCAAACCCACTGCATACTAAAACACAATACTATCAGAATAAAATATTTTTTAAAGCTTCTGAGACAGTCTACAACTGTGCCTCTCCTTCTGCTAAGTATCCAAAATTGCTTGTTTTTGTAAAATACTTTTTTTTTTTAAACCATCTTGGAAACTGAAAGCTAACTACTACACTAACACAAATTAAACTCTTCTGCAAACATTAAGCTCTTTACAGAAATAAGCAAAGCTTGGAGAGGACAAGAATGCAATAATTTAATAGATGTATGCCTCTCAGCAGCCGTAAAGCAAGTTTGATGGTCATGTTAAATTTTGAAATTAAGGATCTTACAAATTATCTCTTAATTTTATAGAAAGAATATTGGACTTCCAAGAATCAGCCATGGGCAGGCTTATTTTAGGGACTCAAATACGGAGACACACACATTGATAGGTCTGGATTGTGTTTTGCAGGTACAAGTCAAAAGGCAACCATCAGTAGCACGCACTTCCCAGTAACAGCCCAATAAGCGTGACAAGCTGTGAGGATTAGCTAAAAATTAAGCGGGCAGATTTTTTTTATCCTTCTACATATTGATTGTTAGCATTGCATAGGCTGGCACAGGAAAAAAGTCTGACTCTTAAGTGTGAAGGAGAAACACAGTTTAGAACATTTAGACTAAAAAGTTTGAGATCATTAATTTAAAATACCAATTTCAAAACAGGCACTGATTTTTCACTAAATTCATAAAGAAGATTAAATTATTTTATAGTTCTCAGAATATAGTGCAATCTCTATTAATATGCAGTATATTACAGCTTACATATTCTTAGGCACTCAGAGCAAATGTTATTTTTCAGTTTCTACTGGACAGCAAAGTTTGCTGAATTATTGCATAGATTCCCAAGTAACATATAATAAAATAAAGCAGGGATTGTATTAAGTAGACACACACACAGAAATACATACACACACAAAAACAAACAGCATTACAGAACAGTCACTGATACTGCCACCAGTAAGTCACGCTAAAAATATAAAGATAGTGATGCTATGGCTTAACATTTTCATGCCACCAAAAACTCCTATCCTCAGTCCAATAAAGCCACTCCAAAGTACTTAAGTACACTCTGACATTTGTAATGTCATACATTCCATATGCTTATCTAACTGCTGAAATAGGCTGCCTTCCTTTAATAAGGAAGCTGGAAAGAGCGGGGGAGACATAAAAAGAAAAGCGAGACTATTAGGCATTCCTGAGAAACAGGCAAGAAGCTGGAAGGACAAACAGCCTCAAAGAAAGCGGCCTCCCCAAGAGCTCATCCAAAGAAAAGCTCATCCACAGAAAAGAGGCTCCTTAGCCTCCTGTCAAGCAGGTAAGGGAAGGATGTTGATGCTGTTTAACAGCTGCATATGGCTGAACTAGCCTGTACTGTAGGAGGCTTACATACCAGAGGCACACATGCAGATCTTGGCTGATACAATATTTGTTTCCTTACACATTTTGCTTGACTTTTATCGGTTGGATTGTTAAGTGTGGCTCGTCTTAAGTGCCTTAAACTCTGCAGTTTTGCAGAGAAGAGGAGAGGGGAAAAAACAGATGGATCGGATGGAAGGGTACACATAGTTTATCCATAAGGTAATTAATCAGAAGACTGAGCTCTTGGAAAATACTTAAGAACAGAAATCATGGTCATTTAATGAGGCTTTTACTGCCAAAAAGGGTTATAGATACTTTTCTTTACAAGAAAAAGTACAATGAGGTCCTCAGAGCTCAGCAGTATCTAAGCATCTGAATCTCACTGGTTCTATTGATGAAAAGCCATTAAGCACTTAAACTTGGCATAGGTGCAACCACAGAACTTGTAAAAATGCTACAGTGCCATAAATACATTTCTTTAAATAATATGCATCTTGGAGTTTTCACTTTTCTCCAAAGTCCTGGCAGACACATTTCTTCTAGAAGTCCCACCTGAAAGAGAAGAAAACAATTCTCAAAAAAAGTGTAAGTAGCAATATTAATTTTAAGATTAACAGGCCTATTAACAACTAAGAAGATATTCCAAAAATTAGGAGAGAGGAAAAAAAGATTCAAAAAGCTTTCTGTATTCAAACTGGCAAGAAATTACATAGGCTTCTCTAGAATTCCAATCAATTACACAATATAGTGGACAGACATTACAAATTTTAGCATGTAAAGCTATAAAGGAAAGTAAAATTTCAATAGGCAATTATGAAAATCACAGGCAAACATGTGGACACAAACTGACAAACTGCATCACAGCATAAAGCACAACTTTTTCCAAAAGAGAAAGAACTAAGCTCTAAAAGTGTTACAGAAACTTAGTGCACAAATGAATATTTCTGTGGGTTTTTTGTTGTTGTTGTTTTTGTTTTTCAGTAGATGACAATGGAAGTACAAGAGTTCAAATTAGAATTTTGACTTGGCTGTATGTCTACGTCTACTTTTTCATGTGCCACTAAACATATTTAAATGAACAGATGGAACAGGGTCCACTGAAAACACAGACCCAAACAGGGAGAAGGGAAGGTCCAACTTAAAAAGCTGCAGTCAAGGCCCTCGTGGAAGCTGCAGCACTGCAGAGCTCTTTGCAAGAAAATACTCAGAACGTGTCAGCCTGGGGAAGCAAGCAGCCCTGAACCTGGGGTAAGAGCAAATACAAAAGTCTCGAGGCAGGAGCCGCCGGGACTCCACATTACACAGGAACCCCACAGCCTGTGCCTTAAATCAGCACCTTAAATCAAGCAGCATCAGCTTGTACAAACCCACTGCCTCTAAATGCCCGAACCACCCTCCTGTGGCAGGGCTTGGAAACACCAAACACAAGAGTGTCTCCCCTCTCCCACTACACCCAACAGCCTGAGTCTAGTTCTCTAAAATTACTTATTTTTCATCTGCTCTTGGCTCAGGCACAAGTCCTAAGCCCTGCTTATCTGTTCCATTTCAACAAATTGGGCTACTAAAATTTCACAGATTAGATGTCTGAAATAAGCACGGATCTAGCCAGTACCTTTATGCTTAGGTATGGACAGCTTTTTCATGTCAGCAGGGACGAAAGCTGAGCTTGAACCCCATTAGGGAAGGCTGTTTCTGCCATTTAAGCAAGATCTGCTTGATTTTTGTTGCACACAGCAAGCAGCCCCGCTGGTTTTCCAGATGATTTACAAAGTGGTTGTGCTGAACGGGAGAAACCTTTACAAGAAACTCTGCTGAGCTCATTCCTCACTATTGGAAAAGTTGTTTTTAGAAAGAGCAACATTTTGAACCCTAAGGGAGACTCTGCAATAAAAAACTGCCATAGACGGACATTTCCTTTTACAGCTATCCTATTATAAATTTCTAGAGAATAGCCTATTTTTAGATGAAAGTAGTAATAGTTCAAGTTTAGAAACCACATTTTATGTAATTACAGGGAACAGCTTTCTTTTATTTATAAAATGAAAAAGTTAGAATGAAAGTTAAAATGGCAAAACATTGTTTTTAGAGTGATTTCAAACATAGATTTTTATACAACTGCCCTGCAATTAACTTTGCATATATACCCTTTTCTTGCTATTTTTATTGTTTAAAGAGCAGACCCGCAGACTGCCCTTACGTCAGAGAACAGGCTCCTAAGTCAGATCACACCAATTGCTGGAGATATAGGGAAAAAAAGCACACAGAAGTAACAATCCAATTGTACAACAGCCCTGACAATGACAATGTCATTAGTGCAAAAATACTTTATGTGCCATTTCATTTAGCTAGCACTGATTTTTAAATGGGAGAAAAGCAGCAATTTCAAAGAGAAGAGAAAAATGTGTCAGAACATAACTCTATCTGAAAAAAAGCCAAGTGTTCGTTTGCCTTGAACTGACACTGTTCAAGGTTTACAGGTTTCTCAGCAGAGGAAGAAACCTACCGCTTACCTTCTTACCACGTCCTTGGGCTCCTTTCCCTGGGCAGCTTTCTAAAGCATGTGGAGGTCAGCAATACACGTGCTGGTTCCCTATCGCTGGTTCCCTACGGCAGGGCTTCCCTGTGATGGGCTAGGAGTGACGGGGGAAACACAGCCTTGGTTAAGAGTCATCCCGGGGCTGCCAGTACGGGCGAGGGGGAGGCCCCTCACAGCTTCACACCACAGCCTGCTCCTGGGCCCTCCTTCCTGCATTCACACCACGGGTATAGTATGAATAGAGCTCATCTTGAGGTCTACTCCTTCCTGAATTTAGTTGTCAGGCATTCAAGGGTTTGATTTCTTTGTTGTTGCTGCTGCTGCTATTGTTTTAAATACAACATTTAGCTTCCACTTGTGCACTTCCCTATATTTGAAGTTACTGAGAGCCAAGAGTTTGAAGCTGGACTTTGCTGACAACACTTTGGAGAGAAGCTCGCTGAGCACTTGGTGCATTTTTGTCAGGTCTCCTTAAAGCCTTGATCTTACCACCCCTTGGAACTCCTTCCTTCACCAAGGATCACTCTCCATTTTGCATCATCCATATAAAACAGCCTTGCCCCCTTCCAATTATCAAATTCTTGTCATCAGTTAGAAATAAATCAGATTATGTTATAGAGTTATTCCACATGCTTAAAAAAGAGAATAAGGCTAAGTGGTCAGGAGCACATTTCAACATGCTGGACCGTATGCCCTCTTCTTGTTTCAGCATATTCAATAGGGTATTTCAAGCAATTCATTGTAGTTTAATGCAAGCAAATCCCACTCGACCTTCCTGACTAACTAGAAGAGATCATTGTCTTAGGAACACTCTCATCTTTCTACCTTCCTATTAGCCAAAGTTCCACTGATTTATCAGAGAACTATCTAGCAAGTAGTCACCTGATACAAGCACAAAGCACTGTGCAGCAAGCCTAAGAAAGAAGCACTGTAGTTATTCCAGGAAAGCAGCTGTCAGCTGTATTTGTTTCTTTTGGATAGAAAGCACATACTGCTACTCTACTACCACTTATTGAGGGAGGAAGTGGGGTAGAAATCGGTATACAGATGTCTTGGACTTCTGAAGCCACCTCTAAAAAACAATTTATTTCAACATCTCTCCTAATTGTAAAGTCTAACTTAAATAAAAATCTGCAGGATATTTTTAGCCTTTACCAATTTATCATTAACTGATCAATCAAATGTGTATTTTGCAGATATTTTTAGCAACTGAATGAATTTTCACACCGTGTGGATACATTTTCAACCTCATTTCTCTTGGCCAATTACCTTAATTATTTCCTCACATTCCGCTTTCAACATTATACTCTGATACCTGCAGCTTACTCTGAGCTTCTTCTCTCCTGCGTTCCCTGTTTCGCGGGTGTCGCCGGCACCTCCCGCGACTCCCGTTTCGCCGGCGTAACCGGCATGTCGCCGTTGACGCTCTCCACTCCTGTAACGGACATCAGGCTCTTCCGCTCCTTGGAATTCGATTTGTGCTCCACTTTTGTCACTCTGAATCTGAGGGGAGCAGAAGACAGACTCCACTTTATTTGTGTGTGTGACCCCCTGTCCTCCCTCCTCCTGCTCAGTACCAGGACGTGGGAGAAGCCGCTCCAGCAACCCGTGCATGCAGCAGGAAAGCCGTTGGGCCAGAGAGAGAAGAGTCCTGCGAGCCAGGGAGCTCTTCAGAGCAATCTCCCTTGCTATTAGCCAGGCATATTGTCAATGCACACTGCTGCTGAATCAGCCCTGACACTACTTGTCACGTTCAGAGTTACAGCAAGTCCTGCTTAACCCTTGCAGCCTCCAAGCCTCCTGCAAGCTCTTTATTAAGCGTACAAAAGGCTTGATGTTTGCTGAGACCACCACATGCTGAGCTGGCTGGAGGAAACAGAACTTACTGTGTCTTGTCTCAAAGTCTTTAGGGACAGAAATAAACCAGCTGTTAGTTGTTTTCAGTGATTAGACTGAAACTGGGACAGTTTGGGAAAGCAAGGATGACTGCCAGTTTTCACATCTTCATAGAGAACTCCCCATTCCAAAGACCCTCTTCTATACTACCAAAGATCTGAATTTCTTGTAGTTTTTGGAGGTGGTGGTTCATTGGTTACAGGGTTTTTTTAGAAGGTGGACAGAGGAGGAATCAGATGAAGCTTTTTCTGCTTCAGAATGACACCCTCTTCCAACTCCTATCTCATTCAACATCAACCCTTGGGATTTCAGTTTTCTGTACGTTGACCTCTACTCAACACCTCTTTTAAGGCCGATTTCTCACTATAAAGTCAGTGTAAAGCTCCTTTTATTTGACATGACTGCCCTTTCAAACCAAGCCTTCCTCAAATATTCTTAACCATCTTTTTCTCTTAGATATCGCCCCAATCTCTACTCCTCTAGATCATCTGCATGCTTTTCTGAAATCCCACAGGAAGTTGAACAGAAACCCTCAAACATCCTGTGAGCTGTCAGCTTTTACAGTAATGGCACTTCAAGATTTCTGGCAACCTTGTCTAACCTCCTCAATTACTCAAGTGTTTTCTTGGTTGTCATCCAACTGGCATGAGTCCTCTTACTAACTCTAGATGTCAGTCCAAAATTTGGACTCAAGTACAAAGCAGATGAAAATATTATAGATAAGTAAAACAAACAAAAAAAAATCATGTATTTATATAATGATGTTCTCTTCAAACCTATATAAAGAAGTGCAACTAAAAGAAGGCAAATATCTCACTTTTCACAGACTGCTCCAAGCATCAGGCCAGGCCTTTGGACAGAAATGAAATGTAATCTGATTAAGTAACACTTAAGCATTGCCAATGTGCAATCAGTGTTTCAAAGACTGCTGGCAAGAGAGGATTGTGAGGGTTTGACAGCCTTTTATACACGGGTAACACAGAGAAGTCTTCGCTGTGATCACCTATCTGCTCTGATCTGCTTACAGGTATAGAAACACATATAGAAGCAGTGTGTATAGAATATCAGGATACTCCAACGGGGCCACTCTGGAGCCCAGGTCTTACCTGCCCACGGAAAGTACTGTGACCTCTCCCAGGCGGCTCCTTCGGTGCTCCTTAGGTTTGTGGGCTGGCTTTATAAGATGCCATCGCTTGTGACTGCAGCGAGTGCAGACGTCCTTCTCCGCTACCCCTCCGACAGTGTGGAAGTGATGCCCTTTGCAGCTGTGTTTAAATGGAACAGCACCGGGAGACAGAGGAGACCCGGGGGTTGTTGGACTCCCAGGAGTGGTAGGAGATAAAGGGCTGTGGGAAAAGTACAAAAGAAAAGTAAATGTTTACTACAAGATCTCATTTCTTAAAAGGAAAAATGATAACAAATAACTTTTAGCTGTGTCTAATGAGCAGTACTTTTACGGGGGACAACTTATTTCTGAGTGCGCTTGTTTGAAGGTTCTCCCTCATACATTGTAACATAAATGTATTTTTGCAGTTAAAATTTCTTCCACAAATGAATTCAACTGGAGGCGATCGATTTGACTAACACAAAGGGCAAGGAAATGGAAAGAGAATTAAAAAAAATTAAGCTGAGAGAGAAGAAGGGGTTAAGAGGATAAACATAGGTGAAGACATATAATGAGCTGAAGTGCACCCTTGGAGAACTAACAAAAGCATTTCAGAGATGTTACAGTATCTTTAAAAACCTCATAAACACACACAGTCCAACAATATTAGGAAAAGGCAAAACTAATGTCTACCTTAGAAAAAAAGAGCAGACCATGCAGCTTAAGCCTCAGAAAAACACTGAAACAGTCAACCCCAAGAGACCTAAAAGATAAGAAAAAGCAGCGCAACAACCAAAACATCTATTGAGACAACAGCAAGCCAGGCTAAAAAAAAAAAATAAAAAGATAGCAGAGGTAGAAAGCATCATATATAATTTTGGTCTTCAATATTGATTTTGATACTGCCTTGCAACACATTCCCATAAGACATACTAGATGAAAGCACTGTTTAAGCCTTTTTTTTTTTCTTTTTCTTTTTTTTTTTTTTTTTTTTAAAGAGGAGAGAGAATATTATACATCAGTGGATTGTAAGGACACACTAAGTAGAGTTATTCTGGTCCAGAGGACATTCGGTGTTTTAGAAAGCTTCCTAAACAAGAAAATAGGAAACCAGCTGAAGAATCTCAAAGGAGCCATAGCAGATGAGACTAGGAACTAGGATGATCAGAGGAGACGGGGAGGAGAAGCACACACACACACACGCAGACAAACCTTACATGAAAATACTAGAGGCACTGCAGTAAGGGCAAAGTTTCCCATACTTAAACAGCAGTCACTGACTTTGCGAACCCAGATTAGAGAGTGACTAATAAGATTCTTCGGAAAGGGAAGGCTGTTGCCAAAAGAAAATAAAAGGACAAATTGCACACTGGAAGTAACAGGAGTATAAGGTGTGAAGTTACCAAAGTAATTTTGTTGCACTGCTCTGCAATAATCATGTCTTAGTGTTCCTGGAGTGTCCCACCCAACCCCGGGATTGTTACTGCATGAAAAACACTGTCCAAGTGAGAGACATTCAAAAGGAGAGGAGAAAGAACAGATTACAGAAATCAAACCTGCCAGGACAGACTGGAATTACTCCGAGGTCTTGAAAATAAACAAAAACCACTGACAGGAGACATTTTATGTCTCAGAATAAAAAAATGAAATAAGGGAAATAAAGTCCGTTCAACATGCAGCAAATGCAACAAAGAATGACCAAAGTGCAGATCTCAGTTTTTACTATTTCGATCATTAGGAAGCATTTCCTAAAACACTGCATATATGAGGAGACACAAGCAGAAATCCGTTGTATTCCCAGACTTTGGGAGTACTTGCCAGAAGTGACACAAGAGCCATCAGCCATGTCTTGCATTGCCTCCTAAGGCCCTATCCTATTCTCTTGACCCCACTTCTAACGATACCACAACGATACCCAAATTAAACCACTGAAACAAGTCTGAAACTCTCACATGACATCACACACTCACCCAGAAAGTCTGGGAGTTAGAATTCGACCACATATTCCTGCTGCAAAATACAAAATATTTCAGATTTCAAGGTAATTCCATATGGGAGAAGAACAAGTTGTTTAATAACCAAACATCTTTTACAGTTAAAATAGGAGATAACTTGCCACCTAGTCCTGTTTCTATTGCAATCCTAAACACCCTTCCACCCCTCTATTCTACATAGTCCTACTTGAAGCTTCAGCTCCCTGCTTTGAATATGAACACAGGATTATATATCAAGAGTATGCAAAGTAGAACAGCTAAAGTACAAGCACAAGCATTTCTAAACAAATGATGCTTGCAGGAGACAGAGAACCCAGGCAATACCCGTTCTTATTACCGCCTTTGTAAAGAGAAAAGGCAGAACAAAGAGGACAGAAAGAAATGTCTATTTTAAGTTGACATCTGTACAAATGAAACAAGTGCTCTTCCTGCCCATTGAAGTGTCAGCTTTAATCCAAAACTACTCAGTAACTTCACCCTAAAGTAAACAAACAGGTGCAGCCTCTGTGAATCCCGGGTGCAAAAATCAACAAACACACATTACACATGTCAAGCAGAGACCAGAAGAACAAAATAAATAGAGAAGTGTACCAGAGGGCATGCACTGAAGTGCAGTGACTCGGAAAGAAGAGCATAAGGAAATCAAAATATTATCCTCTCAGCTGATGACTCAGGAAGTGATGTAGCCTTACAAGTGCACATGAAACAAAACCAGAAAAAATCTCCAGTCACTTAGAGATTTTCTTCCCTTTCCAACATGCTTTAGGTTTCATATAACCAAATTTATACTTCCAAGTTATAGAAAGTTAAAAACTATGCACTATACACACCGTCTTATCACTGCAATAATTTTAATTAAAAAAATATATTGGAAGTTAAATGCGTTGCCACTTTGACCAAATTTCCAGATTACTGACACTAAACTTTGGCAGATTTAGGCAGTTAGCAAGCTGTTACATTGAAGGATGTCATTTCACCGAGCTTCCATTCACACAGGTTCACTGAAAGGAGCTGTCTGGCCCTCATCTGTTGGCCCTGGAGACACATGTTAAGACGAGTAATTACCTTTCGGGTTCAAAAACACTGCTGTCTGCTACCATGGCCTTTAACACATCGGCATTGGCTGCAAGGAGAAAAATTGAATTAAGTGTACAGCTCTAACTTGAGAGAAGCAAACAGCAAAACCAAAGGTGTTCAATCAAATGTCACCTACTACTGTGATGTCTGGATTACATAAATATCCAAGAAAGCATGAGACAAAATCATGAAAAATCTTAAAATAATCCTGTAAGGATTTCTTACTCTGACATACTAAAGTAACACTTTATAGCACTTGAAGCTCTGCCCCCATACAAGATGTATAACCTATAACTGAACCACCCTCCCAAAGTTACAAAAAGTTTGTAAACTTCCTTTCCATCATAGCAACAGCATCACCTCATAGGTAAAAAGCAATTTCAGAGACCAAAAACACTTGTTGATAAACGTGCCCTACAAAACTGCATATTAACTCTCAGCCAAGGAAGACAAATTGATCACATATTTCAAAACAAATAAATGTGGGTACCCAATCTCAACCCTGAAGAAAACCACACAGGCTAAAAAATCTTAAGGATTATTGAGGGAAAGAAGAAAAAAAAAATCCAGAGGACTGTCTTCATCCAGGCTTAACTTAGAGGCAAGTCCAATACTTAAGAAAACTTCAGTCTTTTTAATTTTATATTGTATAAATCAGAGTTATCATACTGTAAAACATGCAGTCTAACTAAGTAGTTCTCAGACTGCTTAAGCTTGGGTTTATCTTTTTCCATCATATCTTCTTTCCCTTTTACTTTGTGCATGTAACACATGAAGATGTCATGGCTGAAACACAGCAGACTCAACCGTCTCATGTTGTCTTAATCATACAGATTTTTTTGGACTAGAGCTGCAGGAATCATTTTAAGAGTCTGATGCAGTCAAGATTTAGAACTTTATCTACACTAAATTTTGTCATAAAAAAGCTTGAGTTTACTTCAAGAAGAAAAAAATAAAAGGCAAAAATTCAACCAACACAAGCACCAAAATACCCAATAAAACCTCAAAAAAGGCACAAAGCAAATATACTCAAAATAGTTCTCAGGTAAACAGAAAGTTTCCCATTTCAACTGAAATTATGACCTTCTGAAGACAATCTTTAAAAAAGTATGCACAAAAAGATTATTACATGAAAATACATGAATATACTATATTTCAGAGTATCTGAAAAATGTATTTGCTATTAGGCACCACCACAAAGGCTTATAACTTCAATATCTCATACCATACCTTCATTTTTCATTATGTAGTTAACAATTTGTCCCACAGTGTCACTATTCTCATGTATAGTTTCATTCATTTCTGTGCAAGAAAAAAAAAATCATCAGTACCCTGGTCTTCCAAAAGGAGAATTGAGTTATTCAAAAACAAAATGAGAAAAACCAGAAGAATGTTATATTAAAAAATAAAGATCTATCATCACTATGGAGAGAAACCCTAGATCTGACTTTTTAGTCCTTACTCAGGAAAACCACACATTTGTGGAGTCTGCGCACACAGATCCAAGATATTTTCATGCAAGATTTTAGAAAGCTCAGTACTTCCATAAATACACATCCAAATTCTTTCTCCATTTCATAAGGAGACATAAACAAGAGAGCAGTATTCCTAATTCCTACTATAGAGGATAAAGCAAATTATTGAAGAGTCTGAAGGCATTATTTTAAAGTAGACAGTCTTGTGCTTCTCAGGGACTCAGTCTAAAGTTTTCTGAACTATGGCAAGTCAAAATCTGCCTTTTTAAAATATTTATATCATGTGTGTGTTTCTACATCAAGTTCTCATGACTGTATAAACCAGGAATTTAGGAGAGAATGATCCTGACTAAACTGAATGCCGTTGGATTCAGCTGTACCTGTTGAAACAGCGCTGGAAGATTCCCCAGAACAATCTCATCACAGAGACAGAGGAGGCAGACAAGAAGTTAAAGGCACCAGCTCTGCCCTTCCCTAATAATTATTAGGAGCAGCTTTACAAAAATGCAGGTAGGGACAAGCTTGATGGGTCAGACCCCATGTTTGTGAGGGTGCTTCCCTGCCTCTCCATCCACTCCTCATCTTCAGCCTCCTGCCTCTAACTGTACAGTTTGAGTCCCAACCAGACCCTTTTCCCACCCCTACCCCTCACCTGGCCAGGTTTCCAAGGCAGGAAAAGGGAACCATGGAACAATACAATAGTAGTACAGAAAAGACCAAAAAAAAAAAAGGCAAAGATATCTTTAAGAAATTAGGATGTTTGACTATTTTCCTTTTTACTTGACTAGAGGCTTAGTTTTATGATGATAAGGGAGATGAGAATGACAGCACAAGTTTGCCTAAGACTGTTAAACATGCACCTATGACATACTTTGCTTTAAGTAGAGGCTTTATGCCACTCTGTTAACAGTTATGATTAGTACTTGGCTATTCCTCATAGCATATGATAGGCAGTAAAGCAATCTGCTGACTCGCGTGGCAGTTTTTGCCACTAACATTATAAATAAACTAGATTTTTGATCTCTCCACAAGCTCTTAATCTGTGTTAGAGGACTTGCATGGGAAACTGGAAGACTCCTCATTTTGACTGGCAAAGATCAAAACTGACAGATTGTGTAACGGTCAAAGACAAACAAATGAACCCACTCATCTTGAAAGCAACAGGGTCACGTTTAACAGGGAGAGAAAAAGGACACAAGTCTCACAGCAAGCTATTCTGTATTAGTAGCAAAGCAGAGAAATACGTAAGAGGCATTTACTAGACCCACTGATTACCTATTTTTTCGCCAATTTTTTCTTCTTCTACTTCCTCAGCCTCTGTTGTACAACGATATCCTTTTTTCTTAAGGACATGACAGATGAAGATGCCCAAGAGGCCCATGATGAAGAAAACAGGAACCAGCGCAAAGGCAATGTACTCTGGGTGGTCAGACCCATGACCATGGCCAGTTTTAGTTGTCAAAGTAGTTGTTGGCAAACCATGGCTTGACAAAGCTTGGAGAAGATCTTCATCACCTATGTAAATCAACAGAGAGTTATTATGATACACCATACAGCACCACTTAGGAAATTATGAGCCTGACTGAATGCCCTTAACGTTCATGGGGACTTTTGTGACACCTGGAAAGGGCAGCATGGATTCAGCCGCCCCAGAACTCACCCCCATTAAGTTCTGTTGGTGAAATAATTATGGAAGAGCAAACACGTCCATAGCCACGTTGTATTTCTTCAACATAACAGGGAAAAGCAAACGTGCCTGTGGCCTCATCTCAGCTCCCAGCAAGAGGGCACAGCTGGCCGGAGCTATCGCTGCCCTTCACAACACCCAGCTCAGCGCTGCTGCCTGCCCTCCATGGGCAAAAGCCCTCGTCCCTCCTCCCACCCTAACACTCTGCAAACCAGCTTTAAAGAACTACATAAAGGATTGAACAGCGACTGTTGCAAAGAAAAAGTATCACGCTTGAGACAAATAACCATGTTTTCTTTCCTCTTAACAGTGGAATTTCACAGCATAGAAGGTTATAAAAGTTTATCCTCTCCCTTTCCTTCTCCTTAATTTTCATCTTGTGCCAAAATAACAAAATTGCAACTCTGAAAAAATGCCTCATTAATATGAATATTCCTCCCCGAATGACATACTTTGGACAAAAATGCTCTTTTTTTCCCCCATTAAAGAAATGCTATCCATAGTTTCTATGCACAGGTTTACAATGTCTGACAAGCACAGGAAGCAAAGCATAAAATGTGTAAAATACAAACGAAAAAAAGAATCACTATTCACATGCTAGGCTTAAAACAACAAAAACTAATAATCAGCATGAAATGTGCACACTCTTCGCTCCTTTAAGGATTAGGATACTTCTTCTCCTTCACTTTTCCTGAAGGGATGATGCTTGAAGTAGAAAAGAATGACAGAAAAGACCAAGCAAAAATCCAAGCACTCTACTTCAACATGCTTCCCACCTGAGTGTCATTATAGCAAGGAAGGCAGTCCATACTTTTTTTCCTATTAATCAGATAAATCAACTGAAGGAACAAACAGATTCCCCACCAGGACCCCCATTCACATGACTGTGACATTTCATACCACCACCATCTACAACCATAAAACCCTTCTGTAAGTTAAATAGGAGGGTCTCCAAAAACAAGAGGCCATCATTGTTCCAGAACTGTTTGTTTTTCCCCCCCTCTGGATTCATTATATAACTACCAGCTAAAAATGCCAGCAAGGGCATGCACAGCTAAGAAAAGCTTTGTAAAGCTGCAGTTGAGATGTATTTTCCTTAACTATTTTTAATCAAAATATTAACCACTTATTTACAAAATTCTGGATTTTTTTCCACATGTCTTGACTTGTCAATTCAGTGATAAGAAACAGTGAAGATTTACTCAAAGTGAAAAATAATAGTACTTCTTTGAAATAATAACTGAAAAAAAATTCATTAGCAAAAAAAATAGGAAAGTATTTCTCTAATTTTATAAGCAATTGTAGAAATGCAGAAAAACAGAACAAAAAGCAAACAAACTGAGGAGACTGGAGTCCAGATACATTTTAAATGTTAAAATAAATGTCAGTTTGTTTACTTTGGACAAAGCAGGGTGATCTAGCTTGTTTCCAAAAACCACAACAAAGCTATTTGCTTTTAAGAGAAGCCAGTAATTCTACAAATACCCTGCAAATTCTGTGCACAAATACGAAATTTTTACAAGCTCTAACTTTGCCTCGTTGGGCCCTTAATCAATAGATACAGCTTAACCCTGGAAGGCTACAATTGTTTGACACCACAAAGGATGCAAAAGACAGCAATGGTAGACAGACGTGGTCAGGTAACTGAAGAGCTGATGACATACACAGTTCATTTGCCTTCTAGGAATTTACAGTTTGATATAGACATAATTTGGGGGGGGAAGAGAGGGAGGAGACGAGGGAAAAAGAAGTGTGGGACAGGTGACATGAGCTACAAACCCCCCTGTGAAATTGCACGGGATAATTAATTTATTATCTAAGCTGAAGGGGGGAAAATAAAAAAGAATGGTTGAGGTTTTAAGGTTCCTCTAGATATCACCTAGTCCAACTCCCTGCTCACATGGGAGAAGGATCTTTGTGACTGCACTGCCTTGGAACCTCCAGAATCCCATTGAGACAGCAGATGCTACAGGCTCAGAAAGGAGTTAGTAAGTCACCCTCTGCCATGTATAAATGTAAGATAACTTAACAATTAGGCAGATTCTGCAGTATCTGTTTAGGAATGAAGAGCAAAGACCTAATGCTCTATTTCAAAGGCCTCCATTGCCATTTACTAATCAAGTACATTGCCAAGAAGAAAAATCACTGAAGACTGAATCTGTGGTCCACCTTTTTACATTTTCTAGCACATTGTGGCAAGAGCCACATATGTTGTCCTAGCAAAGGAAATATGTCTTACCATTCCTCTATAGCTCTGGAAGGTATTTCCCACTTTCAAAGTCTAGGGAGTAAATAGGACTTAAGGCATGCTCAAAGGCTCATGGATCACTCAGGGATCAAACTGGATCACTGCATATATAATATAAAATATATATATTTATGAAAAGCAGTCATTTCACTTATTCAGTATAGTCTGTGGTTCAAACAGCTGTGTCAAGGCAATCACGGGATTGAATAAGCTGCAGTGAAGGAGTGAGCAAGTGCGGGCAAGGAGAATGAACACATCTAAATTAAGCTTTCCTGAAGTACTTGTAGTAACACAGTACTACAGTCCCACAGGATAATATTTTTTCCCTGTACTGTCTCTTATTATAATGTGCAACAAGTATTAACACTCTACATAACTATTTTTAAAATCTCACCAATTCAAAACCCACAAAAAACATACACACACTTTAAAATAAAAATACAGACCTGAGTCATGCAGCGGTAAACAATGAGCAGAGGAGAGTGCTTATGCAAAGGGACGGGGGAAACGTGTGACAAACGCTGCCAGCTGTTCCCAGCAAACAAGGAGAAATGCCATACGCTCCGGACAGCCAGGCTCAAGTTCTCAAGCTACTCCAGTGACGGAGCCGGCATCGGAGAGGGCAGATGACTTCTGAGAAACCTCTAAATCCCACCCGTGGGAGAGGAGGAAAACAAAACCCGCACCCCCGCAGGGACTCGCTGACCTTCCCGGCACTGCTCTTCAAAGAGGCCTGAAAATTCCCCCGCACGGGAGCGCCGAGGGCCTCGGCTCCCTCCCGGTCCGCAAGGCCGGCTGCCCCGTCCGCACTGCCCTAGTCCCCAAGCGCCCTCCCGGACACCAGGAGCATCAAAAACGCCAATGGTCACAGGTTCCTTCTTGTACATCCTCCCTGGCAGGACGGCTCCTGCTCGTCACGGCTCTGAACACAGTTCATGAATAAATTCATGAATAAATTCATGAACAAATCTGATTTCGTTGCTGAGATTGGCCTGGCTCATCTCAGAACTGCAAGCAGCCCTACGTGTTCACAAGCACTAGCACACCCTGCACTGCGAGGAACACACTTGGGCATTCCTCATTTTCTGGTTCCTCCTTAACCACAGACATTTTATTCACATAACCTGTGTTGTATTTCTGCCCCATGGATCGATGGCTAATGCACCGCTCGTAGAGATAAATTTGCTACAACCTGGTCTAGAGTAGAAAAATTCTGACAATTTAGGGAAATTCTGAAAGAACAAATACAGCTTACATCAGTAAATAATTTATATTTATATTGTTTACTTATATATATAGCCAAAACAATTGTGTCTATAGTGAAACTTTTCCTGGCACAAGGAATGTACTCACATACCTTATTAATGAAATACTCTGTAGTATAGATTTGCCTACACAGGATTGGATGGATATTTGAATTGCTTTAAAACTAGACAGAATTTTTCTGCTTAAAAATACATTAACAAAAATATATACTCCAACATAACAGCCTATGTAAACTGGGCCACATCACTTTTCTTCGGTCAGCTTTAGATATACAAGATCTGACCCTTCCATAAGAATTCAACAAGCTACAAATGTGTTTGCAAGACACTTTGCTTAACAACAAATATTAAATCAAAATTTCTATATAAATATACAATTTATACAAAGACCATAAACTGTATGTGATGTCATTTAATTTACATTCAAGACAGATGTAAAAAATCTACCCAAATAACCTAGAATAAACTGATCAGCTAGATCAAGCACTCAGTGCTGCATATAATCACAAGGAGAGCAAGGTGCCTGCCATTCATTTTTCAGACACTCAAACTCAATAAGCAGAATAGAATGAGGGAGAAAAAAGGAAAAAAGACTGCCCCCATTATGAGAAATATTTCCCAAATCATTTTCTGATCCCTTGTCCTCTTCCCCAGAGACAGATTATGATATTATGCACATTAACAGACTGTCGACAGCCTGTCTCCTGCTCATGACATAGGACATTGCTTCACAGAGAGTTTTATTCAAGTCCAGGCCACGGCAGCCCACCTTAATTCAACTCAATTCATGTAGGAATTCATTGCTGTCTCTGTTTTTCTGTCCTGATACTTGACATGCCTGACACTGGGCATCAGTCTATATATTATATTACAACTGCCTGAGGCCTGGACAAAGATGTGCTCCAAACGGCAGTCGCTGTGAGCAATACTCGTAGCGTTCAAAATAGCAGATTGCATCCATGCTGTGTAGCCTTGCTTTTTTTTAAGCAAAAATAAAAGTATTAAGCTTGACCATTCTCTGCCCTTAACTCAAAAAAGTAAAATAAAACCCAGACCATAATTAGACTCTTATATTTTTCCTATCCATTACCAGTCAAAGTCACTACCTCAGGAAAGTCTCAAGGGAATTTGAGAGGCCCTGTAGAAAAAACAGTAGATTAATATTAAATAAAGTGTTGTCTCCTTCACTAAAGCACAATCTTAGATGGTTTACACATCCTTATTAGCATTCTAATTAAGCACTGCATTCCCTCTGTTAGTTAAATTATGTTTGACCATAAAAACTACTACAAAACTAGATAACCTTGAAAGATTGTTATAGGAATGGGGCTGAAGTGCACCATGTAAGCAAAGGTATTGCTCCGTGACAAAATTTTCCTTCTAAAGTTTTATTTTGAGATACATATCCTTATAGACGTATGTATGTATTCACAGAAAACAGAACTGGAAGCACCTTTGCGATGCCATCCCACTTCAGCACTGTCCCAGAGCAGGATTAACTGTACCTGGACAGCAGCTACCTGCCACACGTGGCCCCAGTTCCTGCAAAGGCAACAGCTCCCATCTATTATTTTCCTTTTCACTGTAAATGAAGATCAGAGCAATTCCTTCTGTATCCTCCTATCTACTAGCATAGTATCAGATTTAATTTTTTTTTTCTTTGTGCACCAAGTTACAGAGATAGTCTTTCTTTGGAATTAGAGCCACACACTTGATATTTAGCATCATCACTAGGATCTCTGCTATTACCAGTCAATTATCTCAGTAAAGCTTCGCATCTAGCATTGATCTGAATAGACAACAGCTTTTCATAAAACAGAAGATGGTTATTTTTAAATAACATTTCTAGAAATACTTACTTAAATATCAAAGAATGCCTCATTCTTGAAAAGTAAATGTTTTGTAACCAACATGAAATTTGTTTAGCTTTTTTTCCAAATACAAACTACATAAGCCTTCCCATTAAAACAATGCATTACTTTCTTTTCCCCCTCTGTATTTCTCATACTAAACTAATCATAATTATGCACATCTCTCTGATTACGTTAAGCACGATCCAGTTGTTTTTGAATTGCTTATTTACCAACAGTATTACATAAACAATGATCTAATCTCCTCTCTTCAACTGATAACAAATCCTATATTGTTACTTTATATTTTGCTCCAGTACATCTATGCCACTCATTTCTAGTGGAATGTCTTGGGGGAAGCTCGTTTATATTTTCTAAATGTGACTCACAGTAATCTACACTATTAAAATACATACAACTATAGTTACCATTTGCTCCTCTGTAAAGTTGAAGGAATTAAGTTTCCTGATTTCAGGTATGCAAAGGAAACACAACTTTCTCACAACATGCACATACATAGAGTTTTGACTTTCATGTTAACTAAATTATTAGAGATACTTAATACAATCAATTTACAACCTCCTTAGTTGTGGTACTGGCTATATGAAATATTCAGATACAGCACATCCTCTGCTCAAGTATCCTAGCTAAGCACAGCTGGAAAGCATTTAACCAGCTTGCACATCTCTCACCATTCTGCCAGACCATTCTGCTGTTAAGGAGCAAAATAATTTAGGCAAAGGTTTTCTCAGGTGGGCTTTTCAGTTTGTTTGTTTTTCCCGTTGGTGGAGGTGGAAAAGGCAGGCAGGCAATGCCTGGATCATTCCTCGTTCAGTGCCCATGTGATACTGCTAATTATTGCCCTGGGGTAATCAACGGGCTAGTTATGATGGCAATGCCAGCCAGGTGGTTACGGCCTCTTGTAATTCCGTAAAGGAAGAGGAGAAGGTTCAGCTGGTCAAGCCTGGTGTTTCACTCTCACACAGCTCTAGGGCCAGTTTGCTCTGAGCTGCATTAAACTTCAGTGACACTTCCTACCTCCAGGCTGAACATCTAGGATAGATGGATATAAGCTTTGATTTCAAGCACCCATTTTAAGCATGATTTAGACAGGTAAAATGTTCATCTTGCAATTAAAAAGTGCAAAAACAAACAAACAAAACAAACTGTATACGTTATGTCCATTTCCTAAATACATACCAAACCCCTCATGCTATAACTAAATTTTATTTAGAAATGTTACTGAAATAGAGTTTCATATCATACTTAGAGGTCAAAAATGGCCAACTTAGGCATTTTACAGCTCATAGAGACATTCTTATTTTAACTAAGTACACACCAGGAAAGTAACAACCTAAATCAGCTACTTACCTTCATACAGTATGCCCAACTTACTGAAATATCAGTTAAAATGTTCTACTAGTGCTACACTTGAGGTTTCTCTTATTAAAGTCTAATTTCATTTTTTTCAGATGCTTATTTAGAACTCTCACGGCAACCATATAGTGACTGAATACTTTTTGTTATCTTAATCACAGCAAGCTTAGCCAGAACAGTTTGCCAGCACTTCAAATTAAATATACTTGTTAAAAGTTATCTGATTTAAATAGTACTTATCCACTCTGACAGCAATAGTCTAATTCCCTTCCTATAACTATGTAGATTAGATAAGAGGCAGTTCCAATTACAAATCAGAACACATCACTGCCTAAAACAAATGGACATTAAGACATTCGGGAACTGTCAGCTTCCTTGCCTTACCAGGAAGGGGTATAGAAGAGAACAGACCAACTATAATTGGCAGCTATTAAGAGGCTTGAAAAAAAAAAAAACTTGAATCAAAGAAAACCCCTTGCCTATTACTGGTTCAATTTATTTCACAGAAGTCACCTGAAGAGATATTTAAAAATCCAACTACAAAAAAAAAAAAAAAAAAAGAAGAAACTCTGATCTAACAGAGAACTTGTAAATTTTGCTTAAGTTTTGGCTTCCTTGTAGTAACCAGAACCATCAACAGAAGTGAAATAAGCAGGAAGTCTGATGAGAGAAAGGAAGCAACATGATGAAAGAACATAATGACAAGGAGTAAATAGCACTTCCAGCTTAAAGGTCAAGCAAGGCTGATGAAGGTTCTCTAACAGAAACTGAAGAACAGATCAGAAAACTTTCATCAAAAGGTTTAGAAAGCAGTTAGTTAGCAAGTAGTAGCTCAAAAAAAAATGAAAGCACAGCAACCAAGCAGGTTTCTCTAAAGCTAGTTTTAGCTGTAGAATTAGTTCTGCTTGCAGGATGCTACTAGTGAGATGGACGCACCAAGTCTCAGGGGTGACCTGAGACTTCCATTGTAATTAGCATCATTCCTGCTAACCAACATCATCTTCAGCAGCATAAAACCATGACTCTTGCACAGTATCTAAAACTGGACTCTACTAGATCCAAGTTAGAGACTAAATTTTGGTTCACTAAATCTACCCTAACATCAACATGGACAGATTTCATAGTAGGTCTGAAAAGAGTTTCCCTGTCTGAATTCCAATAGAGCATCTTGGCTCTGGTGAATTCCTTCCCAATGCCCACGGATTTCTGAGTTATATTCCCTATCAAACTCGTTTCATCAAGCAGTCAAGAAGCTTTAAGCTAGGCTTTGCTGAAAGCTATTTGGAGTGGGGAAAAGGAGGAGGGGGAGATGCTCCTGAATAAGGACTGTTTCTTTTAACAGCAAGCATGAAAAATGTCTAAAAGCATTGCTGTATTACCCATGTAATCTTCAATAAATTTAAATCATTGCAATTTCTGTACTCGCTTGGTAGAAGCTTGCCATGAACCAAGCAGGAAGACCATCCAGCTGCATCTGTGTTTCAGCTGGAAGTTGTTTCTCAAATTTCAGCTTTCAGTTGGAGTTGCATGCAGCTTCCCCTAAATTTAACCAAGAGCTGCAGCTAAAAAGAGTCACTCCTTGACACACCTGGGATTTGCTCCTCCTCCCTCTTACGAAGGAATCTACAGGTTCATCTAGCAAACAGTATTAATGTTGCCGAATACAATCAACAATGTATTTTTGCAACAAACATTTCCATTGCCTTAAACTATTAAAAAAAAAAAAAAAAAGATACCTCTTCTGAAGGTAGTCTGAAGACGCAGGAAGGAAATAAACTGGCAGAGAGCATCCTGACAAATTCAGAGGAAATGGGAGCGTTCCATGCCCCTACACTTTCCTATCTCTGCATTTCCTGCTGTGCTTGACAGTTTTTAGTTTTCATAAATAGCTCCTATTCATCTGCATACACCAGACTAAATTACTAGCTAATAAATGGCACCAATTGATGGGCCCCACTAAGGTCTTCAGCATAGCCTTTAAGCTCAGTAACTCAAGCCTATGTAAAAGCAGATGTAAAGCTAGCACAGGCCCACAGATATACATCCTTTAGCTCACCAAGCATCTGTCTACATCCTCTCTTAATACAGCAGCAGCAGATAAAGCTGCACAACCACCTCAGGAAGCAGCAGCACATACAGTAACCTGCCAAAGCAGCGCCCGAAAAAAAGAGCAACTAACTTTTACCTGTTAGACATATTTTACACAAAAGTTAGCGAGAAGTGAAAAGCAGAAAAAATGAAGTATGTAAAGAGGGGATAAAGAGGGAAGAAAAAAATATCCCTACGACTTCCTTCCTCCTCCACCCCTGCACGCAAAGTCTCAAGGAGCACTGGTGTGCGGGCAAAGCACCTGCCAGGCAGCACAAGTCTGACACGGGGATGAGCGGCCCTGCTCAGGAAAGCTCTTTGTGGGGAGGCCAGTGGCGCTGACGTTGCTCCCGGAGCACCGGCCGAGGTTATTCCCTCCTGGAGAGGAGGGCGGATGGGATGCCCAAGCTCCCGCGCTCTGGAAACAAACTGCGGGCAACAGGTATCAGGTCCCTGCCGGCACCAAGGGGTGACTGCTGATTTCAGGAAGGAAGAACAGGAAAGCTGGGCACGAGCAGGGCCCCTTCGACAGCAATAAGCGCCTTCATGCCGAGCCCCGCATGGGGCTTGGGACGCGCTGCCAACCGGGCCGACAGGGCCAGGCACCGCGGGACCGCGCGCAGGGCAGCGCTGGGCGCGAGCGCCAGCGAGGGCAGCGCCCAAACGCGACGGATCGGACCCGCACCCGCGCACTGCTCAGTGCCTAGGAGCTCGGCTTTGGGCTTGAGCCCGCAGGCTCGGCTTTGGGCTTGAGCCCGGCTCAGCGCCGCCGCTGCGGCAGCGCCTGCCCCGCTCCCGCGCCTGAGGCGGCCGCTTGCAAGAGGCGGCTGAGCCGGCCCGGGGGGGGGCCGCTCCCGGCCCGGTACCGCCGCTCCCGGCCCGGTACCGCCGCTCCGGGCCCGGTACCGCCGCTCCGGGCCCGGTACCGCCGCTCCCGGCCCGGTACCGCCGCTCCGGGCCCGGTACCGCCGCGGGCCCCGCGCCCGGCGCCACCGCAGCCTCCCCCGGCCGCTCCTCCCGGCGCCCG